ATAATAATATAATAATAATAATAAGAAATATAATAATAATAATAATAATAATAATAATTTATAACAACAAGAATTTAAAATAATTTTTTTTAAAGTTTTTTTAGATTTTTTAATTTTTTGAAGTTTTTCTAGTTTCTTCCAGTTCCTTCTAGTTTTTTTCAATTTCTTCTAGTTCCTTCCAGTTTTTTCCAGTTTCTTCGAGTTCCTTCAAGTTTCTTCCAGTTTTTCCAGTTACTTTCAGTTCCTTCCAATTCCTTTCAGTTCCTTCCAGTTTTTTCTAGTTTCTTCCAACATTCAGCTCTTTTTTTTTAGTCCTAAAGAACAGGCTTTAAAGAGGGAGCTAAGAATTGGAAGCATGTGAAGAGGGGATTGCATGAATCATACTCATACAATATAAAGCGTTTGGATTGAGGAGAAAGGGAAAGGGAAAGGTTACGAATGAAGAGAGTTTATTTATTTTATGTTTGTTTTGATTAGCGTAATGAGTGGGGAAGGATTCAAAGGGAGGAAGAGAGTTCCTCCATTTCCATCAAAGCTCATCCTCCCAAATTCAAGTCATCTGGAAGGATTGGAGATGATTGTCGTGCCATTGAAGCTGAAGCTATGTGAAGTGTTCTGCTCTAAATTGAAGCTTCATTTAGACACTTGATATTTTGCTCTGTAAATTCGTCCAATGTGTGAACATTATTCCTTTCATACTTTTTATATATACAAAACTAGATCTCAAAGTCGTGTGTTGCACCGCTAGTAATTTGGATTAGTGTTATCGTTGTAGTGATTTTGTAAAAGGGAAAAAATGAGGCATATTAATGAAAGTACTTGATTCTTATGTAAAGATTTCAAGGATTACAAAATAAACTTGAAGAATACTTTTAGAAAAGTAAAAAGGAGACATTAAAGGTTCTGAAAGAATTCTTTGTAAACAACATTTTCTGTGGCATTCAAAGTGGCTCCATCGTCCTTGCAAATTAACACTTTTAACCCTCAAGAGACAACAACATAATGTTGCCCATGGCTAAAGACTGGCTTTTTGAGAAGTAATCCCACATGCTTCAATGATTGACCTTGACTTCTGTTAGTCGTAATTGCATAAGACGTCATAATCGAGAACTGCTTCCTTTGAAATTTGAAGGGAATTTGTGTATCTAAAGGAGTGAGAGAAAGTTGAGGAATGACTACCTCATGACCAGCATTCTTACCACCCATCTTTTTTCCCTAAATCAAGTGGGTTGCTAATCTTGTGACAATGAGTCTAGTTCCATTGACCAAACCCATAGATTGATCAATATTTCTTAACAACACAATCAGGGTCCCTACCTTTAGTTTTAGTTCATGGTTGGGAACACCAGATGCCCTTATGTTGTTTAAGAATTCAGAAGAATGCAAATCAGATATGGCATCTACATTAGAATTTGATTTGCAAACACTATCGTCAAGAGTGGGCAAGAAGGGTTGCTCGAGTCCGAAACTGGCCTGACCATTGTCTCTTGGGTGTCTTTATTGGTAGTTTGAGAGAGGATTTGAGGTCGAGGTCGGAGGTCAGAATCCACAAACCCAAATCTCTGTTCAGGGCTTCTAGTTTAGCCCTTAAGTTTGAGAAACGGAATGCCCATGTGCCTTTCAAGACAAGTTCTATGAGATCAGGTCAGGTGCTCATTCCGATTCTACCATTGACCCAAATCGAGAGGTAAAAAACTTGTCCCAATCTCACTCGCCCCAGCCCCTTGCATTCTCAGGATCTTCAAGCTCAACACCAACCTTGCCCGTTTCGAGATTTAGTAGCGACGAGTCGATGAAGCAGCAACGCAGGGATAAAGGACTTTACTATCGGTGTGGCGATCCCTTTAGGCCGGGTCACCGTTGTTCAACTTCATCCACTACCTTCTCTTTGATGGAAGTTGATGAGGAAGGTAACCCGATTAATCCCAAGCATCCATTGATGGGGAGGCAAAAGAGGAGGAAGTGTCCTTTAATCCAATTCTGGGAACGCCAATGTCCGCCACAATGAAATTAAGTGGAAAATTACATGGACTTGGAGTTCTCTTCTTAATTGATAGCAGTTAAACACACAACTTCATCTCTAAAAAACTTGTGGAGAAACTTAAGCTACTTGTTTCCTCTGTTAAGACATTTGGGGTACAGGTAGGAGACGATTTTATTATTCAGTGTGATCAGATTTGTAAGTCTGTTTCAGTTGAGCTTCCAGGTTTGACTCTTGCACAATATTTTTAACCATTTCCACTAGCTCGTTCTGACATGGTTCTTGGAATCAAATGGTTAGCCTCTCTGAATACCATTCAAGCAAACAAGAATGAAATATTTCTGATTTTTTGCATTGACGGGAAGCGATAAAAATTACAAGGCATGTGGAAAGTTGATCAAAGTAGTAGATTACATTCAATGGTGTGTCGTGAGCTGCAATTAGGAGTAGTGGAAGAATCTCCTTTGAATCTGAATGACGTAATGCAACACCAACATCCAGACTTCCACCTTGAGGTAGGGGTGAGGGCATCGGTTCGGTTCGGCCGGTTTCGAATTAAAGCGAGAACTGAACAAACCAAACCGACAAAAAACCGACCTGTTCGATCCGTTTGAAAAAACCGAATTTTTCATCCTGAAAACCTACTGCCTATTTCCAAATGCAAATATTGAAAAATGAAATTTGAAAAAACTTCAAATTCAATTAGCCATGGCTAATTAGCATCTCAAAGAATTCAATTAGCCGAGGCTAATTAGCATCAATAATTCAATTATTACTCGATCAATTACTGGTGACGAGAGACGAAGTCCACTTTTGATGATCATCAGCAATGGCGGCTAATAATGCATATCAAAGAATAATAATTAGCAACAAAAAAGAATGAACAAACTTGGTGATTGCCTATTGGTGACGCCGGAACGGAGATGGTGATTTCCGATTAGATCTTGGCGTCGGTTTGAGAACGCCGGAACCAGGAGAATGGGAGATGGTGATTGCCCGTGAGGACCGAGAACGACACAGCAAATTTGGGACTTGCTGGTTGTGAAATTGGGAGGACTAGGAATTGTGTTTTTTTAAGTGGGCTATAACTTAAAAGATTTGGTCTGGGCTTACATATATTTAATACACATATTATGGGCTCGGTTATTTGGTCGATTTCGATTAACATTGCCCAAAACCAAAACCGAAACCGAATTAACCGAAAATTTTAGACATTAAAAACGAAAATCGAAACCGAATTTAAAATTGCGATCGATTCAATTAAATTGTATCAATTAATCGGCCGTTTCGGTTAAATTGCTCACCCCTACCTTGAGGACAAGGTGTCTTTCAAAGAATGGAGTAGTGAGTCCACATTTCCACATGTGTACGAGTTTTGGGTCACCGTTAAAAAACTAACAGCCACTTAACGAAATTTTTAGAAAATGTTTTTTTACAAATAAATTAAAGGTGGGATTAGTTCAGGCAAATTTACTTTTTACTTTTTACTTTTTTAATTTAAAATTAATATTGTTAAAAATATAACAGTGTGCTCTTGTTAGAGATTTGTCTAACAGTTTACAAATTTTTATTTCTATTCTAGGAAAATATAATATTGAATTACCAAAAATAATTCAAAGTATCGATCAAGAGAGAAAATGCAATACAAAAATGTAAAGAGTTATAAAATTTATTATTGGCGTTTCGGAGAAAAAAATTCTTGTGCCATTTTCACAACTTTTGAATTACTGTTTTGGAGAAAAATGTGTACTAAATTATAAAAAATAATAAATTAGGTAGTTCCATTTTAGAAAAAAATAATATACGCAAAAGAAGATTATCTATTAATATTTTGGAGTGTTGTTCATGAAAAAATTGCAATACAACAGAAAATCTAGTGAATTATAAAAATAAAAGTTCTATGTCATACCGGAGTATAAAAAAATTATTGTGTTATTTTCACAATTATTGTGATATTGTTTCACAAAAAATATTTTTATAGGATTATGGAAAAATATTTATAAATTTTGTAGTGCCATTTTATGAAATAATAATAATGTAGTATCAAAAAACAATTCGAAGTGACTCTCAAGAAAAATAATTGCAACTTACAAAAAATGTAGTTAGTTATGAAGTAAGTAAATTAGCTCTTTTGTGTAGAATAATTTATTTTTTAAATTATTATCAGATTATCGGTTATTGAAAAAGTCTAAAAACACTTAAATTTGGTATTATTTTTCCAATTTTTTTTTAAAAAATAAATTTAAATTTTAAGTTAGAAATTAAAAAACGAAAAAAAACAATATTTTCCTAAAATAATCTCACCTTTCATTTATTTGCGAAAGGCATTGATAGAATTTGAGATGTGATATGGACAACTGGATTGGGTAATAAGACACTTGGGTTGAACGACATTAAAAGATTGAATCCAATCGATTAGTTAGTTTAACTCAAGAGCTTATATACCGGATTATTTTACTCTTGGTGTTAAACGGGCCACAGGCCGTTGGATACATACTCATACGGACAACTGGGCTAAAGACTAACGGGCCACTAGGAATGAACGTCTAGACGGACACCTTAACAAACGAGGTGGGCCAAAACTTGCTCCGATACCATGATAGAATTTAGGATGGGATATGGACAACTGGATTGGGTAATAAGACACTTGGGTTGAACGACATTAAAAGATTGAATCCAATCGATTAGTTACTTTAACTCAAGAGCTTATATACCGGATTATTTTACTCTTGGACTTCCGATGTGGGATGCAGTCTAACAGGCATGCATTTTTTCAAAAATTTTGTTAAATGACCGTTAGTTTTTTAACGCCGACCCAAACTCGCACACATGTGGAAATATGAGATTATTTCCGATTACAATGAAAAGTAAGATTGTTTTTGAAAGAATACGAAAATGTGAAATTATTTGAGATAATTTTTCTTGAGATGGAAGTGCCATGTTACCTCATCTTTATATGCACAACCTTTATTCTAGTAAGAGAGAAATTTCCTGGTTCGTTACAATTTACAATTCGTAAAGTTCCCACAAGTCTTTGTGACTTCTCTTTACCTTTGCTGACTGCTGTAAGTTCTACTACTCTTTTCCCTTGGAAGTATACCATACTTTTCATATTTCCTGAATCTTGTTTGGTGAAGTTCTAAATTTCCAGCTCCATTGAGCTTGGATTCTTACCAAGTGCCAGCAAGGTTTTAGGGGGCAAGAATGTGTACTGTATATTATTTGTATATCAGTAATGTTAGATTCACAGATGTATGAGAAAAGTGGAAAGCTTGGGTGGATTTTGAGGCCAAATCTCATGGTTCAGTGGTGGTTTAAGCTGTTGATTTTTGGGGTTTTTCTTGGAATCTTGATTGTTTGGGGTATTGATGGTGGGAATATTCGTGTCCTTGTGGGTTCTTTGCACAAAGATTTTTCAGTTTTCAAAGTCAATAATAGCTCTGCAACTTTTAGACCCACCTTCAAAGATTTCTCCTTTGCCAATGTTTCACTTTTGCCCCATTCTGATCTTCCCCCGCTTAATCTCAGCCATACATTTAATGGAAGGGCGGTTTTGAACAATAGTGCTGAGTTAATGTCAGATTTGGCTGTCAAAGATGAAGCTTTTCTAGAGACTTTGAGTTGGATCTCTACTGAGTTAGAGGCAAATTATTCCTCAAATCTCTTTAAGAGGTGGATGGCTCCAGGCCCGGAGTCGAGAACCGTAGATATAGCGATTCCGGGTTTGGACGGTAGCCCGGGTATTGAGCTGTCGACTGGGTATGTTCATGAGTTCTTCATCCAGGCACTGGATGAATCAAAGAAGCCACTCTGTTTGGGTGGTGACTATTTTGAGACTGATCTCTCTGGTGAGAGATGGAAGTCTAGGCCCCCAGTCCAAGACTTTGGCAATGGCACATACAAGTTTTCCCTTCAAGTCCACCCCGATTTCGCGGGGGATTACAACCTCACGGTGATCCTGTTGTTCCGGCATTACGAGGGGTTGAAGTTTTCCCCCGAGAGATTCGCCGTCGACCGGGTCCTCCGTGTGGTCCCCGTCAAGTTCAGCAACAAATCCTCGGGTGAGCTGCCCGAGATCTCGCGGTGCACGAAGTCGGATTTCGGTCGAGACGTCTGGTCCGGGCGGTGGACGCGGCACGCCAAGAATGAGACTTGCAGTATCGGCAACAACGGACGGTTCCGGTGCCAAGACCTGAAGTTTCCGTGCCCGAAGCCTTGGTGTGACGGTCCGTTGGGCTCGTTGGAGAGCAACGGGTGGGTGTATTCGACACATTGTTCGTTCAAAATGTATTCGGCCGAAGAGGCATGGGATTGCCTGAGCAACCGGTGGATCTTCTGGTGGGGTGATTCGAATCACGTGGACACCATCCGAAACATGCTCAACTTCATCCTCGGACTACCCGAAATCAAGTCCGTTCCAAGAAGGTATGACATGAACATTACCAACCCCAAGAATCAATCCCAGACGGTCAGATTCACAAGCATCTTCAACGGGCATCACAACGAGACCGCGAACTACCTGGGGTTGAATTCGCTGTCAAATTCGGATTACCGAGAACTGTTGAAATCCTATTTTTCAGGAAATGTGGTCCCAAACACTGTCATCATGAACTCGGGCTTACATGACGGGGTGTACTGGCACAATCTGAGGTCATTCATCAAGGGCGCGAATCATGCTTCAGATTTTTGGAGAGAGATTGTGGAAGGGGTGAGGGGGAGAGGGTTGGCCGCGCCGGAGATAATATACAGGACCACGATAGCAACGGGCGGGTACGCCAGAAGACTGGCATTCAATCCCCACAAAATGGAGGCATTCAACGGGGTGGTTTTGGACAAGTTGAAGGCCCGTGGGGTGTTGGACCGGGTGGTTGATGATTTCGACATGACCTATCCGTGGCACTACGACAACAGGTGCAACGATGGGGTCCACTACGGCCGTGCCCCGCGCAAGTTCCGGTGGCGGGATGGCCAGATCGGACACCAGTACTTTGTAGACCTCATGCTCTGCCATGTGCTGCTCAATGCTCTGTGCACAAAATAGTACTCCGTCTATTGGCTATTGATGAGTTTATATATACAGCCACTCAACCGGTCACCGAACGTTCTAACTCCGGTCGTGTGTGGCATCGGTTTAGAACGTCAGGTGACAAGTAGAGTGGCTATATAAACTCACCAATATTCCGGGATGTCATTTATTGAATCAATTTTTTTCCGCAATTGGGCTTATTGCATTGTGAATTCTACCAGTGCAAAGGGGATGAAATACATTATTCTTTTGTTTGTATAAATGCAGGTTTTCTCTTTTGAAAAGCACAAAACTTACTTGTGTGTTTAGGAACCGAGGCCGGCCAAATACTCCTTTGTTATAGCTATGGATAAACACAACCACCCGACCTGATCAATTGGACCAAAACTATGGATGATACTGGAATGATGATGAATGGATCATGAATGAAACGGGTCGGATACGGGTGAACATTTTTCTCACTCATCACCCGATCCACCCGCCCATCCATATATTTATATTAAGTTTTCTCTTCGTTTCAAGTTAAGTTGTATATTTATTATTCATAGAGTCAGATTTTAAATATGTTTTGTTTACCTAATTTCGCTACCTGTTTGTGAAATTTATAAATTTCTTTTTTTTATTTCATACTAATTTTCAAATAAGTTGAAATAAAAATAACTTTGGTCAAAACTCGTAAATAAGAGGCGATTTAAATTGAGACAGAGGGAGCAATCAATTTGCATATTACTCGTATAATGTTAGGCTCACACACAACGTGAATATCAGTTTTTAACGATAAAAATAGCACTTTATTAATCAATTAAAAACAGAATTACAAAATCTCGAAGCCTAGAGTCCCAAACACCACAACGAGACTCAACTTTTCGAATAAGAATACGAGCCACACCATTGCCAGAACGACGAACAAACAAAATTAACAGAAACAATCCGAAAGTTGGCCAACCGAGCCCTACAATCGGCAATCACAGATCCAAAATATGATAATTCGTTCACAGTAAATATATATATTTTTATAATAAAAATAAAAAAGCAAGTTCTCTTTAGTTAATGTACGACTTTTCAATTAAAAACCAGACCTTGGTAAATTTTAACTAGACAAGTTCAGAATGTCAGACACAGCAGAATAGCTTCAATTCCCAGTAGCATTTCTGCACTATCATTTTTGCCCAAACTTAATACACTAGTATATATAATCCGAGACTGTACATGAGAAGAATCTCGGGCAATAGGGCCAACCCGATGCACACGAGAAGCTAGAAACAAAGATATGAAGAATGCATCACGGATCAAATTTACAGAAATTACAACTTTGATGAACCTTTAATTCTCGTGAGTATCTTGAGCTGCTGGATCTATCTTGATTATAAGCGGCTGGTTGAGATTTGCACTAGGGGCTGCTGCTGCCACAATGGGTAGCTGGGGTGATTCCAATATGTCATCGACATCCTCATTTTCAGCCAACGCTTTTTCTAGAGCAGCCTTTGCAACTCTTGTAACACATATTATTAAAATCACTGCAATGTATGTAAAAAAAGCCTTAGAGTGCGATTGAGAAAATACCGAGAATGATAAAAACTGTGTTTACTTGTTTAATCATATAAGACAAGAAATTGGTGGATCTTGGCACCCATAAAGAATTAAAAATGGCATCCAGGTTTAAAAGTGAACACATGACAACTAAGTCTTAGCACTTACCAGACACCAAAAGGCCCAAGGCAATAAATACCTGCACCATTTCAAGCAATCAGATGTTAAAAAAAGACTGGCAACAGAATGAAAAGTTTGAATAAAACAATTGAACTTCGTATGCCAACAAAACCTAAAATCAAAATTAGCAGTTCTAGTACAATCTCAACCGAACCCCATCCCATGTCCGTCCACAGACATAAAAAAACTTAAACAGCAAGCTTATAAGGAACTTCTTGACCATATAAATACGAATTGTAACTGGCCTTACCCAACGGGTTTTAGAAAATTCACCCCAACCGTGTGTTACATCAGAAAGATCCTTCAGAGTGGTTCCAACATACACCAGTGCAAAAGTAATTGGCTGCAATATTGAGATTAAACACAACTCTTAAAAGCGAAGAATCTATTAGGCATGAATGGTAGAGCTAACAGCCTGTTTGATACGCAAGAGTTCGTTTTCCTTTCCTGATGGCCTGATGAATTCACAAAACAAGACACTTTCCAGTATTTGGTAGACAGGAGAATATGTTCTTTAAAATATTTTTCCATCAAAGGATGATGATAAAAAAGAATCCCTTACCAAACCATGGTAATTTCTTTTCCACGCAATGGGAAAAATGAGATGTTGTCAGACAGAGTTTCTTCTATACACCCTCTGTGTCATAAAACACTTTACTTTTTTGGACGTCCCAAAAAAAACTTGGCACTTCATTCCCTATTTGGTACTCCCTCCGTCCAGAAATAAAGTTCCCACTCTACGCTTTTTTTTGTCCGGAAATAAAGTTCCCATTCTACGTTTTCATACTCACTCTTCCTAAAATACCCCTTCTTCTCCTCCTTTCTTTCTTCCTTTTTCTTTTTCTTCTTTCTCCCCTCTTTTCTCGCAGACCACACCCCCTCCCTTTCTTTTTCTTCTTTCTCTCCTGGTTCTTTCTCTCTTCCCCCTCCCCCTTCTATTTTGTCTTCTCCCGATTTTCTTCTTCTTCATTTCTTCTTCCTCTCCTTTTTCTTCTTTCTCCCTTTCTTTTTCTCGGCAAAATCATGCGACCAACTTCTCTCACTCTCCCCCTTCTTTTTCTTCTTTCTCCCCTTTTCTTTCTCGGCCAGATCTGGCCATCATTTTCTCTCTCTCCCCCCCCCCTTCTTTTTCTTATTCTTATTCTTCCCGATCAGATCTACTTGCGGTGATTGGATTTCACCTCCTCATAGATCTATGGTTGAGGGAGGCTTTTGCTTTACAATTACAGGTATGGCGGGGCTGGGCNNNNGGTGGTGGGGGCAGTTGGGGTGGCTTTGGTGCTGAGATGAAAAACCAGCTTAGGAAGATTAGGAAGAGCAGGGGTGTTTTGGGCAATGCAGGCCATCAGTCAACTCCTACTAAAAATGGAGAATAGTCAAACTGGGAACTTTAATTCCGGACGGAGGGAGTAATAAATATGTTGATCATAATATATCTCTCTTGTCTAAACAAATTCTAACCAACATTTTTTTACTTTTCAACAACTTTCTTAAACTCAGTGAAAGTCATAACACAATGTTTTTATGGGCAGAGGAAGTATATTTTAGCATCACCTCAAGCATGTACCATTTTAGTTCATACGGAGTAATACTCTATCAATGATATACTTAGTATATCATAAACTATTTATACTTAAATTATATTTTAGCCCATGTTATATACACTTGTTTTGGTTTTGTCCGTGTATTTTTTTCTTCAAATTAGTCCATGTAAAATACTTCTTTCTCATTTGGTCCTATGATTAGTCTGTTGTTCCATGTTGGGTGGTCAAAAGGATGTCCCTTGTATATGTTTCTATAAAATATTGTGAACTGGTAATGTTGTAAGTCATTAAAACCCATAGTAAGAAAATCATTATTATTGCCATTGTCATTGCGATTATTATGTTCTCAATATCTGTATGAACAATTTGGTTATTACGATTATTATTCTGTTACAATTCCAAAGTAAACCATATAATAGAACAAAAATAGAATTTTAATCATTCTTTATCCTCCACAAGTCCATATATTCATTTCTTATTGAGTTTAAATAATATTACTCACACATTCTCTTCCGAAAGCCAAATGAATTACAAAAATGATTTTCATCCTAATCTTATTCACATGTTACAAGAATCAACAGCATATTTTCTATCATAAACCAATTCGGCCTTAGAATTTTCAGGTGTGACACCCATATACTCCGTCCTGAGATAAACTTTATATTCAGTATTCACACTTTACCTGTTTTTGTTTTCTGTAAAAATAAAATAGTCATGTACTCATGTCCACTCTTGTTTTATACAACTTTTGATGTAGTTTTAAAAATATGTAAATTTTATAATTTATTGTACACCATTTTTTCTGAGAAAACTGTAAACCAATATTTAGATAAATTTATTTGAAAATGACTTCAGCCAAACATCAAACATTGTAAACATTTTTTGTCAAGTTTATTAAAGGACAGAGGGAGACAGGGAGTATATATCACCAGTCCATTATGTTTATTCGGATTCTAATATCCAAACGAAAACTGTACTACATGTATGCCTAATAGTGACAGCCTCTTCCATATCCAGTATTGCAAATTCTATCTAATTGTGGTTCTTCAAATATGAAATTGCTATTCAGGAAACTCCAATTCAAGCATTGGGCATGCACAAAGGATTTAACCTCCCATCACAGGAAAAATCTTCTACCACTACAAACTTGTCTTCAAGGACTTTAAGCCTCATTTATGTAGTTATGTTCCAAAATAGGTCTCACTCAAGAAGGCAAGAAATCTCAAACTCACTGAAAAGTTTGTCTGAAAAATGAATTTTAAATGAAGTATCTAAACAACATATGATATCAGCTCAAAATAGTGTGGTACATGTCTACTTGATGTGGCTTACTGGAAGATGAGTAAATAGGCACAAGAATTATGAGGCTATGGGAAAAAAGAATTTTAAAAAAAATGGTTCAGACAAACAGCATATATAAGTGACATGCATATACAAAAATGTGAACAGAGATGAGGGGAGACAATACCATCATTCCCAGCCATGAAGCCAGCACATATTCCACAATAGGAACAGGAGTCACGGACAAGAGGTAGTTGAGCATGTTGAATGGAAGCAGAGGAACGAGGCGTAGAAGCAAAACGATCTAAAAACGAGACATGCAGTTAGACCCTCCTTACTAAATTCCTGTTATACTACCATTTCAAATTTTCGCAAAATGCCAAAGGCAAAAGATAAGTTATATGAGCCAAGCATTCACTTACCTTAAAGCCAGATCTTCTAATTGCAATTGCAACAGCACGGAACTGGGGATAGTCTTTCAGCTTGGAGGTAACAAATGACCTTCCAATCTGTCAAATCCATTAAATTAAATAGTGTGCGGAGAGAACTTATAAGTTCCAATCAGATTAATGTTTCTCATTTAAAATTACCAAGCATTTAAGAAAAAATAGGCAATCAAGAATAGTTATTCCTCAGGATACATAGAATGATAGAATATGAGTGCCTCATATGGGGATAGTCTTTCAAATTGGTGGTAACAAATGACCTTCCAATCCCAAACCCAACTTTTTTTTGCAGAACGAAATCACTGACTTACCGTTCTCCCAAGAAGGAAAGCTGCTGCAGCACCAATTGTCGCGCCAATAGAATCCGCAACAAAACCAACAGGTAACCCAAACAGATAACCACCACCTAACTGAAAGATATTCCATACACTGGCTTGAGTTTAATTACTGAGACAAGGGTAAAAGAAAAACTGTTGCAAGAACTCAGATAAGGAGTAAGGTTTAAGAAAAAAATCATAATGAGTTAGGGAAAAATAAATAATACATCAGAAATAAGGAATCACTTGCAGATTACAAGCTAACCTTTTATTTTCCAGGTCAACTGAGTTAGCTTTTATAGTAAAACTTATTATGCTCTGAAAACTTGTAACTCACCGTAAGTATTGAAGCAGGGACTGCCAAAACTGTTAGAGGAATGTATGCAACAGCCCTACAAAATGACAAATCAAAAGTGAATTTAACAAGAGAAAAGGCAGCCCAGATCAGCATCGATAAAGCAGCAATTTCTGGAGTGAAGGCGATATACAATAAATTGCAGATTTAAGTGATACTTACAAGACAAGAGGACCCCAAGGACCAAGATCATCTTTAACCCATAACAAAAAATCTTTCAAAATCTGCAATAGCAAAATGTTCTCAACATTTGAATGATCATGACACCAATATTTGTCAACTTAATGTTCTCAAACAATTGAAAATTCTATCAGCATTACATGGAGACTGAAGAGCACATGTCCTCTAATGAGAAACTTGAACTCTCCAAGTTACAAAGCCACTCCCACAAGTCATTATTTGATGAAAATGGTCCAAAGCCCAGAAACAAAAAGGAAAGGAACCAGGCATACAAGCCGTAACATATGGTTAAAACTTACAATCCAATTCCACAATCAACTACTCGTAATTAGTAAAAGTTTTCGTTTTGGCAGTCCTCATTAGCTAAAGTTTAGGAATTGCTTCTCTAGGAGGTTATCTTCTCCAAGTTTAGTTAAACATATTTGATAGAATTTCAGGTTACTAGGAGAATTTGGTGAAAATGGAAAGAGACACCAAACGCCCAACGGAGTGAGGTATTTTTTATATGCATAAACAATCGAAATAATCTTAATCCAATAGTATAACTGTATAAGCTCACTCAGAATAAAACAATGAGCCCAATCAACAACCCACGCCGAAATTTATACAAAAAAAGCCTTTAGCAGAACAAAGGAGATCCAAATTAACTATTAAGCACATTAAACAAAAAATCCTGATCACTCAACGACAATCAATAAACTGCTACCAATACAATGAAAATCTAAGAAAACACCAAAACGTGAAATTCAATCATGACCTTTTCAACAGGAAGAGTGAGGCAAGCTGTGGTAATGGCCGCAATGAGTAGTAGGAGAAGGGTGATTTTGAAAAGGGAGACCCTACTGAAAGCCATCGAGAGCCTCTTGCGCAAAGGCCTGCACTCCTCTTCGTCCTCTTGGGCCTCCCGAATGGCTTGTTTAGAACACAACCGCGGCCTCAAATTCACCCCTTCCCCTAAATTTGCCAGATTTTCGATCTCGGCAACGCAGGTTAAGAACCAAAAGTGAAATCCGAGAATCAAATGAAATACTACGTATATGTTAAAGATCGGAACCCATTTAGCGAAAAATTGAAGATTCTGTGTTTCCTATATCAAAGCAGCAAACGCGAACAAATGATTCTCCTTCTTCTTGGCAGAAACATGAAGAACTCGTGTGTTTCTGCGTAGTACTTCAGAGACAGTTTTCTTACGGTTAGGCCCTTGGGGTTCCGTGGCGGTGAAAACCTGCCAAGCTGAGCTATGGATGACAGACTGGTAGTGTTGGCTAGGGGTTTTCTTATTTTATTTTTATTTTTAGCTTTTGAAAAGAAAATGCATAACGACCTTTATTTCTTTTATAAATGTTGAAACATAATTTCATAGTATGACACCAATTCATTTGACATTAGCCTCCAATGTCATATTAAGACATTGATTTATTTTAGGCATTTACAATGTTCTAGGGGTGGTCGAGGCCTGTGACAGTCTGTGATGCTACCAAATTCTATAACAAACCAATTATATTTAGTATCGGTACAGGATGAAACCCGAAATCATTCGGTATCATTCCGTTCTGAAATGGAACGATACTAATGGTGTATTCCACCCATGACTTGGACCGGGTCCGGGTCACTAAAGAATGACCGCTCAAACCTAAGATCGCATAGAAAGGAAAGACTAGGACAAAGTTACAATTGATCGGTGACAAGGATGGGTTGATCGATACGGTTAGAACCTACTAGTTGACTCCGCTAAATGTCCTCCTTCTAGGCAAAATGCATGTCTTCAAAAACTGTCGGGTGGTAGTCTCGAGCATACATATATCGGCATGACTATTCCAACTGTGGTTGGATGGTAGCGGCTGAATCCATCGGAAGATCCCGGAGGATATTTGGATATCCTCATCAAAGCACTACGTGCCAAATGAGGGGAACATATGCACAAGCTGCCAAGAGGAAGAGACAAACCGCTACGGGACAGAAAGTCATCAAGTCGCACAAAGTGTGGCATGTGGCCTAGCATGGGCGCGCAACGCCCTATCTCCTTAGCCCTTTATAAATACCCTTGTAACCCTTAGTGTCAGGGATCCAAATTTTATTTCGCTAAGAGTTCGTATTGTATTCTCTCCCTGACAATTCCCAGAGTTAATAACAATTGGACTATGAGTGTTTCTACCTACAGTCCTACTAGTCACCTCTGGTTTTCTACACTTTTTACTTTCCTAAGCTCAGCAAGTTATCCTAGATCCGATCTAGAATAGTTTGTCCAGATGGTTAATTTACACCATCATTTTTGCACCGACCGTGAGACTCGTTAGGGTTTTCTTTTTCTCTCTTTAGAAAACTCACTCACAAAACACCACATACTCAAAATGTCTGCCATCCAACAAAACGCCGCTGCCAACCCTACTCATGGACAGGCCGCCACTGAGGTCGTGGTCGTGCCGGTAACCTCACCTCAAACCCCGTCAGCTGTAATGATTCCGTAAGGACTTAGCCAGGTCATGGCTCCCTCCATCATCGCACCGTCTGTCGGATAGATGGTTCTTTTCCCTCTGCCTTCAGCTAGCCCGAGGGTAACCTTCCCACCCAGCATGGCACAATTCGTTAACGACCATGTAAACTTGCAGGCAATCTCTAGGTTTAGTCAGGTCATGGCCATGTGCCAGCAAGCGAGGGGCTGTCTTTCCTCCTGGGGATGTTCCCCTTTGCATTATCAGTGTCACGGACTTGGTCATAATTTTAGCGAACCGTGCGGCCTAGCAAATTTTTTTCTCTAAGTTTCTATTCAGCCTACTCTCATATTTAGCGGAATATAGAAAGTCTAAGAAAAAGTGAAGGAACACAGACTCAGATACTCGATCCAACGATTACAAATGAGTATCTAGAATACTATGCAAATATCTAAGATATTTACAAGGCTACACGATATCTCTGCACTACTCTATAATATTCCAAAACCTTCCAAGCATCTCTAGCAAGTCCCCCATGTTTCTAGAAAATTTCTTAGTCCTCTAGACTATGACGGATACGTTTGGACAGTTCTTTGGATAGATCTGAACAACTTCAAATGGATCGGGTCGGGTTTAGGTCTCGAGCCTCTGTGGATTTTTGGGCAAACAAAGCGGTGCGTCACCACAGGCATAGGGTAGATGCCGTTGCAGGCTTCTATGCCCCCACACCTTTTACAACATTTGTACCGCAACAGTCACCCTTCCAACCCCAAGTTGTCAGCATGGGGCCCCCGGTCAATCTAGCGAGCACCATTAACACATTTAAATCCAGGCTTCACGCCACCCATAGAGCACCTCGGATGGTCATTGCATCTCGATCGAGAGTGATGACGAAGAGTGGGATATCCCACGGGCGCATAAGAAGAAGAAGGGCAACGCCCCCCGACCTACAACATCACGGGATTCCACCCTGGAGGATCGCCAAAGGAAACTAGCCAAATCCAGGCTAAGACGAGGAGCCACTCATGTGAGTGCCTTTGACTGGTTGGGCGAGGAAATGGAGGACGATCTTGTCCGTTCCTAGCGCTCCTAGTCGAATAGAAAGGAGCCGGTAAGGACTCAAGTGTCACGCCGTGAGGAGGAAGTTGAACCCCAGCTGCATGAACCGCTGCGAAGCAGACTTGGGAATCCCCCCGACCGGGTCCAACAAATGGGGGCGAAGTTAGAAAGGCTTGAAGGAAAGTGGATGAAAAGAACAAATGCTGAAAAAGATGAACAAATGCTGAAGAAGATGAACAAATTGAGGAAATGGAGCTTGAAGGAATCACCACTAGTCGCTGCCGACCGCCACCGCCACCGCGGCTTGAATCCCTCGCCCTTTTCCCCCCTCCTTGAATTTGTTATGCATCACTTAATTTATAGGAGATTAGGAGCTTCTCTTCCCGTTGATTTGTTTCCGTTGGAGCATTATGAAATTGGAGGAACGGCTGGAGCATTGGACTTGAATGATGCGTCACTGGTCTGATGCGCGATGAAAGAAGAGCCACTGACTTATTTTTATTTTTTTTCTTTTTTTCTTGCGTGAAACTAAAGAGGAAGGAGGGGTTTGTTGGGCTTTCTTGTTATTGTTTGGGCTTCGGCCCAAAATCAATCTCTTCTTTTCAGACTTGAATTCCGTTTTGGCCTTTTGCTACACTTTTCTCCAAACAATAAGATATCAGATAATTTGGGTTAGAAAAAACAAAATAAAAATAAAAGAATGTAAAAAAATGATTAAAAACTACTATTTATGAAAGAAAATTAAAAGATTTTAAAAATGAGAATTAAAATAAAACTAAGCTAAACAACTAAAAATATTAAAAATACCTAAAAAAGAACAAAAAGTACTAACCCAAAACCAACTTATCACCTTCCAACTCACTGTATCATATGCTTTCTTAATATCTAATTTAATTAGACAATTGGGAGAAATCATCTTCTTATTATATCTTCTAGTCAACTCATGACAGAGCAAAACATCATGGACATGGTCTTTCCCTATAAAAATCCTCCTTCGTTCTGACTTACAATAGTAGGTCGGATATTCTTCAGTTTACTGCACATAATCTTGGAGATTATTTTGTAAAGCACATTGCAGCAGCCTATAGGCCTGAAGCCATTAGCATGAGTAAGTGCCTCAACTTTAGGAATCACTGTCAGAAGGGTTGAATTGATTTGTTTCAGAAATTTCCTATAAGTAAAGAAATCCAACACTACTCTTGTTATCAACCCTCCTACCACTTTCCACTAGTTTTTAAAAAATCCACTACTAAAACCATCATGTCTTAGACTCTTACAATTTGGTATTTCAAATAGAGCTTCTTTCACCTATTCTCCTTTAACCTCTGTGAGAAGATCCATTTGTTCAATACTCAACTTCCCTCTTTCAGTCATTGCCTTTTCATCCACATCTTCTGTGACTTCTAATTTGTCAATCAATTTTTTTTATAAAACTGTACCATAATCTCTGTTACCTCTCTATCCCCTTCTATCAGAATTCCATCTTTGTTTTTAAAAGTAAAAACGTCATTCTGAATTCTTCTTTTCTTTATCCAAGAGAAAAACAATTTAGAATTTAGGGCCCGCTCAGTGATCCAGTCCCTTTTACTCATCTGCTTTATCATCATAGTTGTAGAATTCAGGTCATGGTCTAATTGATGAATAAGTTTCCCTTCTTCCTCATTAATCTTGCCCTCACAGGGTGTCTGGTAAGTCGATTTTGGGTTAGAACTTTTTTTATTCTTTTTTAGGCATTTTCAATATTTTTAGAGTTTAATTTTTAGTTGTTTAGCTTAGTTTTATTTTAATTCACATTTTTACAATCTTTTAATTTTATTTCAAAAATAGTAGTTTTTTAATCTTTTTTTACATTCTATTATTTTTATTCTTTTTAACACAAAACTATCAGATATCTTATTTTTTGATTAAAAATGCAACAAAAGACTTGAAAATCAAGTTTGGAAAAAAGATTAAATTTGGGCCGGAGCCCAAACCCATCAACAACAAAAGCAAGCCCAACTCAACTCTCCTCCCTCCCCCTTATCTTCACGCAAGAAAAGAAATAAAAAACGGAAGTAGCTGCTTTCTCCTTCTTCATTCCTTCCACGCTCCAACGTTCCTCCCTAAGATTCCCCCGCCAACTAGAAGAAATTCAACGGCAAGTGGTTCTTCTTGGACTATAAATTGAAGGCAAATTGCAACAATTAGAGAGGGGGAACAACAAGGGGGAATCTCACGGAAATAAAGCGGCGGCCGCTGCTATGGAGGTGGAATCCGGCCATGGTGGTGGCCGGCGTTCGGCGGAGGTGGCGGCCGGCAGACGCGAACTGGCGGCGGCAAAAGCTCCGGCGAGCAGTGGGCAGTCTCCTTCAAGCTCCAATTCTTCAAGTTTTCCTCTTTTCTTTAACAATTGGTTACCCTATATTTGTCCATTTCTTTTTTTTCTCTAATTCTTTGTAAAGTGTTGTTTCAACTCAATTTTTACCATTTTTGTTTGTGTTAATTTCAAAAAAATTATGGTTGGTGTTTTTTGGGTTTATGTTTTTTGAACTATATTAAATCACTTATGAATGAAAAAGAATTCTTACTAGTTTCTTCATGTTTTGCACAAATTGATGTTAAATTGGTTGAATTATAAATTTGATTTCATAAGTAGATTGGTATGTCGAATTCGGTTATCATTGAAGCTAATTTAGCTCCATATTTTAGTTAAATGATTCTCAAATTCATACGTGAATCTTTTTTGTGACTTGTGTTTTGTAAAATTTTAAGGTAAATGAACTTCTTAGTCCCATAAGTTGAATGTTTTCCTTAAGATTCGTTATAGAGTGATTGTTTATGTCTTGGTGTTCTTGTTTGTTATTTTCATAAAAATTGGGATTGTTTAAGCGCAATAAACAACTCTTGATTTAATGAAAATATATAATGTTCTTTTATGTGAATAGACTAAAATTCTTATGCTTGAGTTGTTCAAGGGGACGTGCAAAATATTTTCATCATTAGACGTTAAAGTTTATTAAAGTGTATCAAATTTTCTTCATGAATTATTTGTGCATGGGAGTTAGAATGAAAGAAAGATTCGCTCTTTTATAAATTTTTTCATCTTTTGGAATCATTGTTTGAGCGCTTGAGGTGAGTGGGGGTTCAAAGTGATCCAAAAGACCTTTGAATTCTTGACTTCGGGCCTTATAAAAAGTTGACAATCCTCTATATGTGGTCAAAGATATGAATCAACTCGAGCCTTTGAATTCTTTTCTATTTGTAAGTGCGTAAGTTACGTAATATATTATCTAAGTGCCTATTATACGTGTAATGTTCGTTTTGTGTTCATTCTCTTTTTAATTTTGTTTCAGATTTTTGGCAGTGTTTCTCGGGTTACCTAAGTTGGAAAAGTTGATTATTTTGTGAGCTTATTTCCCCCATTTTATCAAAAAAACCAAAAAAATAAGAAAAATATAAAAAACCAAAAAATATTTACTTTTCATCCACCCCCTTTGTTATATTGTTTTATAGTTTATAATATACTCCGTAAGTTTTATTTACTAAGTTATAGTATATGTGTTTGTTTATAAGTTATAAATATAAGTTCTTTATGCTTTATTCTTTAGTATATTTTTAGTATGTGTTTTATATTTTTAAGTTATATTTTAAGTTCTCTGATTATATTTATAAGTCTTTATATTTATTTAGTTATAAGTTTTATTAAAAGTTTTATAAGTTTTATCTTATGTGTAATATTTAGTTTAATTTTTATATTTATTTTCGTGACAATGTATTTGCATGCTAAATTGGTTTTAACAAAATACAAACTTTCTCCGTGAGATTGACCCTTACTTGCCCTAGCTTTAGTTTTTATTTGATTATATCTTGGGGGTTAGTTAGGGTTATTTATAAATTTTTAATTTGTTTCGGACCGCACGATGGGTCTTCAACAAATTTTGGCGCCGTTGTCGGGGAAAGTTTTGTATGAAATCAGTTTAGTATGTCTTTGTGTAATTGTGTTCTTTGTTATTGTTTGTGTGGGGCCATGTTGATAAAGGCAACGCAAATCATGTGCACAAAAAGTTTTCAATCTAAAAAAATTGGGAGCAATATGAAATCAACATTGTTCTTTGCGTTCGTGCTAAAAATTGTGCCTGTTATGCTACTTTGTGAAGAATTTTGTACCATTCTTAAAAAAAAATGCATTTTGAATACTATTTTTAGCATGCTTATCTCCTGAATTTTGACTTTTAAAGGGGGTATATGCTTATGTTGGAAAATCTAGGTGATGTTTTCCCAACAACTCTTATCTGTCAATGCATATTTGAAAAACCTACACTATTTTTACTGTTTTAGCATGTTGAGTTTGTGTTCATGTAGAAATGAGGTTTCAGTATGCTTGAAAAGGTTGGAGTCAGCAGGTTTGAATATCCTTGAATGCTGAATTTGTGCTCCAAATGCTATTTTTATGAAATTTTAGGCCTATTTTTCATAAAAATTCCATTTTGACACTATTTTCTGCATTTGTTTTTTGCTAATTTATGTATCCAATTGATCATATATGTTGCATATGTGCTGCTTTGTTCACTTTCTTATAGGTACAACATGTATGGTTTGATTAGGCAAGAGTTATGTGCTTATCTTGATGCCTTTAATGCTAAATATGCAAGGAAAAAATGATTTTACTTGCTATTTGTTTTATAAATCTGCATTACTCTTGCTGTTTTTGTTCCTTAAGAGTGCTACATTGCTTAAAATATGAACTATAATTGATATATCTTGCTTGGGGACAATATCTAGAAGCATGACATGATGCTAATATGTTGCTTTTTGAGGTTTAGAAGCTGAATCTGTTGAACTTCAGACCTACTGTGGTGTTTTTGTTTAAAAAAATCTGCAACGTCTTTTCTTGATTTTCATGCTGAATTTGAGTTCATTATGAACTTTAATTGTTAAATACATAGAATTGACTTGGAGGTATTTAGCTTGTTTTTGCACTCTGAATTTGACCCTTATATGCTAAGTTTTGATGTCAAAGTGCAAAAATACAGAAAACTTAGCTTCTAAAAACTGATTTGAAGCTTAAATTTTGCACTTAGAATCTGAATTTTGTTTCCCAACTGAGCTTCAAGTGTTATTATTTATAGAAGTTGGAAACAAAAGCTGGATTCTTAATTTTAGACTTTTTTATGTTTTAAAGAAACATATTTACTTTACTACTTCATGCCTTAAGTGAATATTTGTTGTCAAGTAGTAAGTTTTGTCTAGCCATTGACGTTAAACTGGGCGGCTCATGGGAGGCAACCCACTTCCTTTTTAAGTTTTTTTTCATTTTTCTTTAAAAAAAATTCTTTTTACTTCTAGTTAATATTGTATTTTATGTTTCTTTTTTCATTTTGTAACATGACCCACTACTTGTATAACATTTTTAAAAATTCTCTTTGAGTATATATGCTTACTTTTAACTTTAACTTCTTGTTGTACTTAATTTTTTTTCCCGTATGGTTAGTTTGGTTTTTATTCTCTTCCTTTTAATAAACAACTTACTTTTCTTGTTTTCTCCCCGTATCGATGTAATTGTATTTGTAGTAATTATAGGATTAGTTTTTTTCTTTTTTTCTCTTTCATTTAATTTTTGAAAAACACAAAAAAAATATAATATTGAAAAGAAAAAAAGTATGTTGCTTTACTTCATTTATGCTTCTAATCATATCTTTGAGTTAGAATGCAAGATATGTTAAGTCATAGGTTGGAGCATTTCTGTTTGGAGTAAACATCTACACATTATGGTGCAAAATTTTTATTTTAAAATAGGAACTGTAAGTACCCGGGTGTTGGTATCAGGGGCGGACCCACATAGGGTCACACGTGGTCAAGCGACCCCACGAAAATTTTAAATTTTTTTAGTATATATATATATATATATATATATATATATATAAAATTTTTTTAATGTATACCTAGATTTAGTATATATCCTACAAAACGCTACAACTTTTTACTTGCCAGCGCTGAAGGAGTGGAAAGCTCCGTGGTGCCGTGGTGGGCTGGGCGGTCCTGTGTTCAAATCCATCTGTATGGTGCTGACTTAACACATTATTTTTAAGAAGAGTGATATCTAAAACGGCGTCGTTTTTCTTCTCTCGATTTTCTCTTAAACCAGTTCGACACATCCCACTTCTGCACCAGATGTCCAGCCCTAATTGCAAAATTGGAAGTTGAGACTGACCATCCGCTCACCAAAGGCCGACTACAAACCTCCGCCGACCGCCGATTGCCGACCGCCGCTTGGAAGTTGGAACCGACGACGGCGACGAGAACCCCTAAGGCCCCAAATCCCCAATTACTCGAACAACCAGGTTTTTTCTCTTAAATCTAATGATCTAAATTGGATATTTTTATTTTATTTGTAAATTGTGATAATTTTAATTAATTTTTATAAATTTGTTATTCTGAATAGCAAAATAGAGAATTGAATTCGTTTATTTATTTTGTAAGATTTTGATTTGTGATTTGTGAATATATTAATATAATTAGGTTATGTACTTATGTTTTAAGTTTATAATGTTTTTAATTATTTAAATTTCAATATAGGATGCAAAGATATTTTAAAGAGGCACCAAGATTTAAAGAGAAAGAATCAAGTGAGAATCCATCAAATTTGAACGCAAATGCTTCGTCATCTTTAAATCATCCACCGGAAACATAAAATTTGAATCCAAATATATCATCATCTTTGGATTTTGCATCATTAGAGGCTGATCCAGGACTAAGAAAGAGAATTATAGATTATCATCCAAATGTACAAGATGAAATTCGTCGTTCTTATCTGAAAAAAGGTCATTTCCAACCTAAAGCTCATAAGTTTCCTGTTAGAGTAATGTCAGATTATAATCGTAACTTTCGTCCAGCTTGGTTTGATGAGTTCCCTTGGTTGGAATATAGCATTGCAAAGGATGCTGCATATTGTTTTCCATGTTACTTGTTTAAAATTATCAGTGATGTTGGTGGGGACCATTTTGTGGGTATTGGATTCAGAGGTTGGAACAAAAAAGATAGGTTTAGAAAACATGAGGGTGGACCAAGTAGCCCACATTTTTTTTCTGTTCAAAAAGCTGAAGATTTGATGAATGAAGCACAAAGTATTAGTGCTTCTATTGTCAAACAATCCGATCAAGTGAAATTAGATTATCTCACTTGATTGAATGCATCAATTGAAGTTACTAGATTTCTTCTAAGTGGGGGGCTATCATTCCGTGGACATGATGAATCCATTGAATCTGCATATAAAGGAAACTTTCTTGAAACTTTGGATCTCTTGAGAAAACACGATTCCAATCTCTTGAGAAAACATGATTCCAATCTGCAGGTTTGATGTAGCAATCATTGAGTTGTTAAATTGTGTTGCATGTTTAAGCCCTTGTTCATCGTTTGAGTCTTATGACAAAGCTACATTAT